TATTTCACTTTCAGACATGCAAAACATCCAAGTATGAGCGTCCTAAACTACTTTCAGAAGCAATTAAATATTTAACTTCTGATGCATATTCAAATTCAAGAGTAGGGCCCGACCATAAGTTATTTTTGTTACAAGAGTTCTAGAGAGACTTGTATTGAGAAAAATAATTCCCACTTTTAATTAGGACAAATTAGTTGAAATATTTAAAATTTCGGACGCGTTTTTTTTTTAAAATCCAAAAGTGCTCAATAAAAGCGAAATTTATTCGAACGCTAATTTGAATGCAATGTGACAAGGTCGAGTTTAAGAAACGAAAGACACGTGTATGGGACCAGGAGTCAAAAATAGTCTAGGCACTTCTGGGGTTGCTTCAGGTGTCAGATGATGATCCTACCCACCATGATGGAGAAGTATTAGAGAAAAATTCCCGAGAATGGATTAATAGTAAATTTAGTTGTTAATTTTGCACTTAAACCCAAAAATGTTGATATGAAGCTAGAAACGAATATCAGGAAATGTAAGGGAGATAATTCAGTGTTTGGCATGCAAGAATGGTTTAGGACGTTAAATCGTGGATAATAAATTTTAAAACCACGAGGTTGCATCAACATGGTGGAAACGCTATAAAGAGAACGTACCAAACCAAATTGTAATATTTGGTAACGTTGTTATATTGAATTATTAAGAGATTTCCGAAACTGGATGTTAAAAAAAATTTTGAACGTTGCTTAGCCTAGGTCTACTTGTTTTCTTTTATCTGCCATGAGAAACACTGTTTCAAAGTGAATAATTGATTTTTAGAAACGTCTTTTGCAACCTTGTTTCAGTTTAAATGTTTAGTGTTAAAGTAAAATTTACATTTTGTTTAAGTAAATGATACATTTGAATGAAAATAAAATAGCGTAGGAAGGAAAATCTGATTGTTGAAAAGTTCCACAATACAATGAGGACCCAAACTGAGTTTCTTAAAGACACCAAAAAAAATTTCTAACCAGTTTCCACATATGTAAATTAAATATTTTTACGGCAATATAAATAAAAAAAGCAGTTATATTCTAAGTCTTAATTTTTGTTTCGAAATAAAGTGGTTAACATTCAATTAAAAAAGTGAAAATATTTAAAACAAACATGCACAAAAAACACGTAAAATTAAAAATATATCTTGGATTCGGACTAAGTTTTTAAACTCCTAATATATAATTTATTGTTCTGTATAACTGTTCAAGAATTGAATAATTTAAAATCATTATCTTTATAAACGATATTTTTCTTTCATATTAATTCACAAGCAACAAATAAAAATATGACCGATTTAATGATTAAGTGGATAAAAAAAAAAGAAAGTGTGAAGATAATTATTTTTTAAAGTTGCCCGATGTAAGAAATCATTAAGTCGATTTCTTGAATATCTCAATTTTTAGCAGCCTAAAATATTTTCTAAAGCGGTAAATATTTATTTTGACAAGAATAAGGATTTTTTTTACTACACAATCATGTCACCAGCTGACATAAAAGTGGAGTAACCGTGGGCATTTTTTTTAATGCGGAAATCATTTCCATAGACACCGACACAGTTCTATTGCCAAGAAGATTTTTTTTTTTTAGCTACAAATTTTAAAAATGTCTTAATATTCATTTGTTAAAAATAATAAAAATTACCAAGTTTTGTTTTGCTTTCCGATTTGTTTTCTTAAAAGGTTTCGTTTAATATGAATCAATCCATATGTATTTCTTTGTGCCAATATCAAAGTTGCGCAAAAAGATTTTTTTCGATAAAATACATACGAATTAAAATTAAATTATTAAAAAAAATGAATAAGACAATGAAAAAGGAAGGCTTTTTAGCCGACGCGTTTCTTCCTCAGGGGAAAAAGACTTAAAGTCTAAGAGGACGAAAAAATTGTTGGTCAAGATAAATTTTCCTTAGTCTTTTTTTTAATTACTTTGTTTTGTTTTTTTCTATCTAGAAAAAAAATTACATGTAGTCATTTTTTTTTGCTTTTTTTGTACAACACTACAAAAAGAATGTGAAAGTTCATTCACAATGAGGTAAATGTAATGATGTATTTGTAACCTGTAAATTTGACCTCTTTATGCGTGCGTTCGGACAGGTGTGTGGGAAAAAAAAAAGGGTAACCTGCTACAAAGCATTTTTGTTAAACAAAAACCAGTTTACTTACTTTAAAGTTTAAAAGAAAAATAACAGCGACAGGTTAAAAAGGGAATGGATTGAAAGATAAACAATATAAACTAAAAGATTAAATTCTTTTCCGACTATTGAAGTACTGATAAAAAAAAAAAAAAAAAAAGTAATTAAGAAATATTGTAAAATAAATAACGTTCATCTTTCTTTCATTACTAATGAATCTCAGTCATTATTTTTTTATAGTACTACTATGCAGCAAAAATATTTAAATTAAGTAATCGATTTAAAAAAAAAATTTAAGCAATCGGTTTTTTTTAAACTGATACATTCAGTAAGAAGAGCAACCGATTTTTATATTAGTTTTTTTTTTTAATTGATTGATACTGTAGTGTATTTTGTTAATTAGAACTGCTTGAATGGCGAAAAAATTAAAATATGAAATGCAATGTTACGCACATTAATGGATAAAAAAAAAAAGAAGGCTGTTTTGATCCCTTATTCTTTTTTTAGTATTTTTACTTTTAATTCAGTGACCTTTATAACTTAACTTCGTTTTTATTGGTTAAATAAATAAAACAGAGTAAAGATTAGAATTTTCATCGACCTTTGGCAGTATTAAAAAATGATTCAGTTAAAAAAAAAAAAAAACAGACTCACAGGCTTTTTTTAAACTTTTAAGAGTTCTTTTCCAGGGGAGTTATTAAAAAGAATAATTTAAAAATATCACATTTAAAACCGATTCGGTTTCTCAATAAAAGTTTTTAATTTTTAAAAATAAAATTATTACAAGGTAAGAGTGCAAGTATTTTTAAAAATATAAGCATCAACATTTTCCGTGTCTTTTTTTTTTTTTGTTTAATTTTTTGAATATACAGTTAAAGATAAAATACACAGTACTCTACTGAAAATAAAATCTGGCGTAGAATAATAAAAAAAAAAGCTTTGAGCGTGAAAAATCTTGTTGATTTCAGATCTTAAAGAAATGTATATTACCAAGGTGATCTTTTTTTCTTTGTTAAAAATTGGCGAAAATAACTATGGCTTTTGCTTGCATTTTTTTTGTTGTTTTTTTTAGCATTGATGAAGGCATCACGAATATTTAAAATCTTACGTAGACTTACGTTAAAAGAGGGAAAACTTTGGGTTAGTACCCGAAGCTATTATGGTTGTGGAAGTCAAATTTTACTCACATATTCGATACCATCAGGCAGGGTAGCGAAGCGGATTTTAGCTAGCATTTAATAAAAGAACGAGTAACACTAACAAACAGTTAAAAGAAAAATGGATGTAGATAGTATTCGTCGCATTAAATCCCGCTATAAAGCTTTTTTTCCCCTTCTTTTTAAATGCTCGCTTTCCTAAGTAATATTGTTTAGGACATTTTCTAAATATTTTAAGTTTATGATTTAAAAATTATTTTTTTATTTTTTTTTTTTATTTAAAGACATTTATTTTAGATTTAATTTATTGGAAGAAAAATTCACTGGGTATTACTGCGTTGATAAAAAAAAAATAAATAAATAAATACGTGATTAGTATATAAAATTAAAATTTCACGCTAGAAAAGATTTTTAAAAATCCAATTTTGTTAATTTTAAAAATCTGTGTTCTTGCCAGATATTTTAACTCCAAATTTAAGATAATTTTTTTCCCCTATTGTTGCAAACAAAAATAAACGCACCTATTTTTTTTTTTAAATTCCAGGAAAAAATAATAATAATTAATAATAAATTTAATCTCAGGATAGTTTTGATCCATAAAGTTTGAATGTATAAAAAAAAATAAAATTAGTGGGTCCAAAGAACTGTCGAAAATTATAGTAAGAAAAAAAAAAGTTCTTTTTTTTTCCCCTCACAAGTGTTACTGTTACACTTACAGTACACTACGACTAGTTACAAATGATGCTAAGAGATTGGAGATAATTTAATCAAATGAATTCCGGATACAAACTGACTTTTTTATATTTACATTTTAACAAGACATATAAACACTTATTCTTTAAATTAAATAGAAAGAGAGAAAGAAAAAAAAGGAATTTGTAACTTACTTACTGTGCACTTACGAAAAAAGAGGCATGCTGTTAAGTTCTTGATGTTTCTAGGCACATGGGGATGCTGTTAGTGCTAGCCTTGCCTGAAGTTTTAACAAGCCAAGGCGATGAGAATAGTGTCAATCATCAGGTAAAGGGGCGGAACGAAATTCTGGTCATATCGCCAACGCGTTTACAAAAACTATAAAAATAGAAATTATTTAGCCAAGGCGGAACATGTGCAATCCAAAGCTCCGCCTACTTTACCAAAAAATATAAACATCACCAAATTTGTTTTTTTAAAGTTTCAATAGTCCACTTAATTTAGTTAGACACACAAAAAATGATAATCAAAAGTCAAAACGAAATAAAATTTGGAAGCGACCCTTCTTTGTGTGTGTTTGTTCGTTATTGTTTCTGATCCCTGTCCATTCACGTGTGTATCATGAGTGGTATTTGTGTGAACTTGTCAGTGTTTACGCGACAACTCCAAAAACACATGGTTCTCTAACTAACGCATCATCAACTTTTGTGTGTAGTAGTGACGGTAATGAGTCAGAACAAAGCTTTTAAGTTATTTGATTGATTGATTAATTCGTTTTTTTTTTTTACGGCTTATCAACACTTTGCAGATTAAAGCCAGAAAATATTTTTACTTAGGTTGCAAGAATTTTTTTTTTTTTTTTGTATGATAATGATTTTTTAGTGATACAAAAATCTTGGTGTGGAGAAATGATGGTATTTGCGCGTAAGTGAATATAACGAACCCAACGGGAATTGGAACTCGGCACTCCATTATCCATTACACCACCTGCACATCTAAAATTACAGTACCCGGTATTCCCAAACGGTCAACTATCTAGGCAATGACCAGGCTCGGCGTTGCTTAACTTCGGTGATCGTGCGGGAACCGGTGTTTCAATATAATGTAGCCGTAAGCCTTAATGGGAACAAAAACTAAAAAACTTAGAAATTACCATGCGAATTACTTTACGAATTTTTTTTATTGCTAATTATTTTATGTCACATAAACACAAGGCCCGGGAGCCACTCGAGGTAGAGGGTTACAGTGTAAGAGGCATAGTTTATGTGGATATGTGGGAAGATGACGGTTAACCCTAGACTTGAATATGTTGAGATTGTAGTGATTGCGGTAGCATCCTCTTGGGAGTCGGTTCCACGGAGCAGCGGCTCGTGTGAAGGAGCTACTGGAGTGGAACTTACATTTCAACAATGGAATATGAAGGGGATGAGGGCGGTTCGCTACAATCGGAGTGGCGTGGTGGGTCTTAGCTGTGAAGGTAAGAACTGGTGGAAATAAGGAATGTAGTTCTTCTGAACACCTTCCACGAAAAAATAGCGATAGAGACTGAAGCGGTACAGGGAACTGATTATTTTTTTTCCAGCCTTTTTAGCGATGGATCGTATGTACAAGTTCCATTTGAGGTCTGGGGTGAGATTAAGTCCCAATAGGCACTCAAGACACGGATCATCCATGAGGGAGCATTTCATCATCGCGATAGATAGTTTTGGGTCCGATCTGCGGAATATTACTAGTATTGGTTTTTGAGGCATAGAATGTAACCAGGCAGTTTTTCCCCTACAGAGCTGTTAGAGCTGGGTCAGAGGAGAGATCAGCTACTGCCAATCTCTGGTCATCTAGGGTTTGGGAGGGGCACTGCTATACCGTTGTATGATCAGCATAGAGATATTCATAAATGATCAGAGTATACTCTTAGGCAGATCATTTATGTAAAGTAGAAAGAGGATGGGTCCGTGAAGCGACCCCTGGGGGACGCATGTGTTGATTGCTAGGCATTGGAAGTCTGACCATTAACAACTGCTTTAAGGGATCTACTCGTTAGGTAGGACTTTATAACATAGAATACACTTCCAGTGATACCGTAGCTAGAGAGCTAGTATAGTAACCCTTTATGCCACACCTTACCAAAGGCCTTCGTAATATCTAATGTGATTGGCTTTGAGATGTATTTGTTGTCTATTGCCGCACTAACTCTGTAAGTAACAACAGGATATCAGCAGCCGATTGAAACTTTTAAATGTTTATCGCTCAAGAGGTTGTTCTTAATGAGGTGATCAACAGCTTTTTTTTTGTTGATTATAGCTTCAAAAAGTTTACTATTGACACTGATGAGACTGACAGGCATATACCAAGAGGGACTTGAGCGTTCAACCGCCTTCTTGAGAACCGGGGCATATAATTGAATAGAACTCAATTTTAAAACCATTTTTAAGTTTTAAAAGTGCTTTTTAATATACAGTGTAACCCGGATATAAGAGAGTTGTCGGGACCGGAGAAGAAGTCTCTTATATCCGGGTTTCTCTTATATCCGGGTTTGGTCTATTTTGTTTAGGTAAGTATGGGCTCTAATTTGGGACCAGAGAAAATCTCTCTTATATCCGGGTCTCTTATATCCGGCTTACACTGTACATTATTTATATTATTCGGACTATTGTCTTCACCTTTGTTGCCATATTTATCACAACGTTTCGGCCGTTGTACGCTCCGGCCTTCTTCAGGTGGCTGCAATGTCGAACTAAAGGCTTTATTTCGTTCGCTGGGATAGACTGTTCTAGTTCCACGTGCCATGTCTAATGGATGTCAGTTATCAGTTATCTCCTGTTAATTCCTCTCTCCAAGTTCTCCACCACCTTAACCAGGTATTGAACTCACTCTCTTCGGCTCCTGTCACTTGATCTAACTAACGCCTTTATCCACTGTGCTAAGGACACATGGCACAGTGGATAAAGGCGGTGGAGAACTTGGAGAAGGTAATTACCAGGAGATGATGACAATAGTTAGAATAATGTAAATAGTGTACATAATACCTCATCTTAGAGATATAGACAGATGCTTTTTAAATTTTAATATATATATTTTTCTAAAATAAAGATTAACAGTATTTCCGGCATTTCAGTGCGATTTTCAAAATGAGTGTTTACTGTTTAATATCCTTGGACGTTCCTGAGCTTAACCGTTTTTGTTTTTGTTTTTTTCTCACGCATTTAAAAAATATATTGTAGTTGTCATGTTGCAGTTAGTGAAGCAACATTAAGAATTTTATACGTGCATTTTCAGTATGTCGCGTAGTGGTAGTATTATTAACATACATCCGTTCTTTTTTCCTTTTTTTTTTTTCGTCTTATCAGCTAACAACCGAAAAAAATAAACGAAAACAAAATTCGGTAAGCAAAAGATCTTCTAAAATAATATTTCCATATTTTAACATACTGAATCTTTTCATCACTCGTTGAAGCCTAGAGAAATTATACCGTAAATCTATTGACTGACTGCGTTTGAACAAAAAACCATTTACTACAGAACACAGTTAATGGCGATAACAGGCTGCCTTTATTATGCTCTCGTGCAAAATAACGGTGTGTAACACATTTTATTTTTTTCTGAGTCGTCAAATAGTATTTTAAAACATTAGAATTTCGCAGGAAATTATACATATAAATTTTACCTACTCAGTATACGCTTTTTACCTATACTCCTACGCTTTTTCTAGTTTCTGCACCTCTCCCTCGTTCATATGAAGACTTTCTTTGTATTTAGGTAGTGTAAATTCAAATCTATTAGTCTGAAACTGTAAACTCATACAGGGGGATGCAAAAGTAGGTACAGAGTAATGAAAAACAAAACGCGCACACAAAAGGTGTTGTATTGGCTATACGAACATATCAATCAATAATAAACATATCAATCAATAATAAACATATCAATCCCTCAAATGTTCAAGCTTTTTGTTCCCGCCAGTCACACACTCCTCCTTACCTGCAAAACATTTATTATTATTATTATCAATTATTAAAAAATAAAAAATTCTAATAAATGTATTATAATAAAAATTAGAAATGATTTTAATGAATTAAATGAATTTTAGTATTAGATCATTCATAGAACCACTATTATGATACTGGTATAATACTGTATACCTACTTTTGCAGCCTCATGAACTTTAACGTTTATTTTAATTAATATACCTATTTAATAATATTTAGTATGATTAAATTAGTTTATATATACGGAAGGTGCGAAAGTAGGTATACAGTTATAAAAAAAAACAAACGTGTGTAAAAAACGTATTGTATTGATTATACAAACATATCAATAATAAACATATCAAAATCCTTCAAATGTTCAAACTGTTTGTCCCCATCATTCACTCACTCCTCCTTACTTGCAAAACATTTATTATTATTATTATTATTATTATTATTATTATTATTATTATTATTATTATTATTTTCTTTGATTTCTGGCGTTTACATTTCTTTCCGGGTCCCCAGGGACCTAAGGTTAGAAATTGCATCATGACAAACTCCACTGCAAAAAAAAAAAAAAAAAAAAAAACTACTTAGATAAAGCCCTTCGTAAAGTGTGGGCTGTACTTGTCAGAACAATTTTTTGTATCTCCTTGAGGCATGGATTTCCAAGAATCCCTTCAATTAGTCTACTGCAATCTTTTCCAACCAGTCCTATTATTATTATTATTATTATTATTATTATTATTATTATTATTATTTATTAAAAAATAAAAATTATAATAAATGTATTATAATAAAAAATTATGAAAATAAAAATATTAAAACTGATTTTAATGAATTAAATGAATAGAACCATTATTATGATATTGGTATAATACCAACTGTATACCTAATTTTACAGCCTACTGTATGTACATACATATTTAGTGTCATTAGATAAGATGTTACCAAACAAACATCCGTGGTTATATCGCTACACTTACAAACCTAGAGAATTGGTCCCTTGCAGACATCGATAGTTTGATCTGGCTGGTATGTGGTATTTCCTGTTCAAATAACGTCGGCAAGATGGACGTTCAATTTCGAACATTCATTCATTTATTCATTCAGTTAGTGCATTTTGCGCCTCCCCTTCATTTTCTAACAGTGGTTCATAGTGACATTCAAGGCAGAATAGTGCAATGGCTTTGCCAGTTCCTTTTACATCAGAAGTTAAAGAGGCAAAACCTAAAAATGTAGCAAGTGATTTAAATTCAGAGTTTTCCTTCTCTTAGACCAAGTGTGGGGAACCATTTTGTGCATGAAGGCCACATTGAAATTAATCGTCCTTCATGGAGGCCACATTCATCAAGTGATTTTTTTTACAGTTACACATTTTCTATCTTAGGTAATTAATGCATAAAATAGAATTTAATGAATATATAATCTAATAAAACTGAAAACAAGATATGTAGAGGCAAATACTTTATTCACCTTTTTGACAAATTTATGATTTCCTTTTGAGATAGCATTTTGATATCAAGTTCTAACAAGGTAGTTTTTAGTTTTAATTGGTCTTCCATTTTAAACCCCTCGGGAGCCTCTGGATATGTTAACTAAGTGAGGCTGAAAAGCAAGTTTCAGGGTGACGTTATGCTTTTCAAAATCACTGAATCTTCTGTTGAAGTTGGAATAATGGATAGCGGCTCGGATTTGAGGAATCGGAGAGCCGAGTTCGAATTCCAGTCAAATCCATTTCATTCACTTACGTGCTAATACCCTTGGCAAATGTATGAATTCTCTCCCCCCCCCAGCTATGGGTAAATAGAAGGACCGACCGGGTTTTATAGCCTTGGATACTTAAAAAAGAAATGGCAACCTAGTGCGGGGAAAAATTCTGCTTCGTCAGTCATGTATCGAAAGATACATGATCGCCTAAGCGTGTATCACACATGGCACATAACTGACTGAATACTGACTGGTATTTCTGAAAAGATTCATAGATATTCTCTTCACTTTCACTCATTACTTTCGACAAGTAGGAAAAGTGTTCTGAAAGTTTTGACTGAGTAAAAAAGGACTTGAAAAATAACAACTTTTTTCTAAAATTTCCTAAGTTTTTGCCAAATATCATAAATTGATTTATTTTTGCCTTGTAACG